AACCCATTTGTCAAAATGAAGGGCTGTAATGAAGATTTCAGAGAAGGAAAACACTATAGAATATTAGAGGTGATTGGGACTTTACTGACATTCATTTTGCAAATGAGTATCGTTTCTTACTGAGGGTTATGCTGGCAGAGCTGAGACTGGAACTGTGGCCATAAAGACTCTATCCTATTTTTTTGCCTTCCTTGGATCCATCCTGCATGGATTAACTTTCCTTACCTTCAATTTTCACTCTTATTACATTCCTGTTCAAAGATAAAAGTTCTAGCTTCTTATTTCTCTATATAAGACCTTTCATGCACAAGCTTATTTTATCTTCCAAACCTTTTCCCTAAGCATTCTTCATGAGCCCCTCATTTTAGTACAAGTGGGCTGCTCCTTGCCTCACAGAAATGCCTTGTTTCTTCCTTGAGTTCACTGTATTTCCAAGCGTTATCCTTGTTGCTCCATTTACCTTTTAGAACCATCTAGCTTCAAATACCCTGATTTTTTTGTATGCTTTGTGTTTTTTTGTCTTTCTCTTGTCACATATATAAATATATCTGCCTCAGGTAGGCTTTAAGCTTCTTGAGAACAGGATGGAATTTGATTCACCTGAATACAGGATGAAAATCTGATTTATCTCAAGCTCCAGTGCCAGACTCATACATATATTCATTTATTAAATTAACAGACATTTGTTTTTGAGTACCTATCATGTATTAGGCCCTGGGATTGGAGAATGATAATTACTTCTCCTCTCAAGGATTCAATAATTTAGTTTGAGATACAGAGGAACCGAGAGGCAGAGTGATGTGTGATGGGTATGGGGTACAGTGTGGTATTCCAGGTACCATGGGAGTGGAGTAAGAGGGTGTGTAACTTGAACTGGAGGATGGAGAACAGGGATTATGTCTTTAAGGACTAGTAAGAAGTGATGCTCAGGATCTAAATGATGCATCATAGATAGACATCATTTTTAATAGAGAGTTAGCTTGGTTGAAAGGGATTTAGTAGAATTTAGTAGATTTAGTAGAATTTCCAGCAGAATATAAGTGCTGAGAAATGACCTTAAAAGATGCATAACACCTATACAATTATAGAAGTGATTGGAAATATGACTAAGATCTATTATTTAAGAAATTGTTATATCTAGATGACTTTACAATGAAATCTGATAAACCTTTAAAGACCACATCATTTAATTCTCATCATTAAACTAATATAAAGAATAGAAAAGGGTGAGGAACCCTCATATCTAAACTTAGTAATGATAAGTAAAGCAAGTAGAGAAAGACACAACAGAACAATCTTATAATTATATGTACAAAAAATCTGTAAAAGATATCCTTTTAATTCATTGACACATCAAAACACTGCAACTGAGATTGGATAGGACTTTTTTCTAGAAGTGCAAAGCTGGTTCAATTTCTGGAAATCTAGCAACATGATTCATTATATTGCTAAATTAAGGGAGGAAAAAAGAGATTAATATATTAATGGATGTTAAGGAAGGAGATAGATTATAGAAAGGGATGAGTAACCAAGGAGATAAGCATTCATTCACTTAGCCATTCATGCATAGCATATTTTTATAAGAGCTTCCTAACCAGGCAGCCCTGGTATAGTGAGACCACTAAGGAGCTTCCAGCTTATTAAAGCAGATCAGCAGGTGAAAAAATAGCTTCTGTGTGGACTGTTCTAAGTATGAAACAAATACTAGAACACCCTAGAATTAAGCTACTCATTTTGGGGATAAATTTTTATAGCATCAGGGATGTTTGAGCTGGGTCAAGATTTAAAAAAAAAGGCTCAGTAGAAAGTAAAGGCTGTGAAATGACATTGTAGCAGTGAGCACAGCATGAGCAAAGTGCAAGGTCATGAACATTCATTATAAATCCTGGGAATGATGTCACTGGGCCACTATTGACATTCTGAAGAATGATAGGAGAAGATGCTGTGAAGATCATCTGCAACAGAGACTTGGCCAGACCCTGGCATTCAGAGGAGGTGGAGCCTCCATGGGGAGGGCAGTGTGGGGGTAATAGATGGTGCTGTGGAAGGCAGAAAAGATGGTGGAGTCAGTGGTTTCCATATAGATGCTTAAGTTTACATTGTTCACACTCTCCCAGAAAGATTCCACAGTCAGCTGGCAATGTGGGATTGCTCTGGAAATGTGCTTCTTTGCTTTTAAAATCATTGCATCCTATATTAACCCGTTTTTTAAAAGTTTCCATTTTGAAATATCTTTAGAGTTACAGAGAAGTGGCAAGGATAATATTAACCCATTAAAAAATGTACAAATAAAGTTTATACTACAAAAGTGCACTGTGCATTAAAATTTCCAAACCTTTATTTTACTCTACTTGTTCCCCACTTATACTCACTTGAGTCATGTTGAAAGCAGAACAGACTCTTTTATCCCTTTTTAGTAGAAGACCAAGAATCAATTTAAAAATTAAAATAAATAAAAACCAAAATTAGTGTTCCTCAAACCTGAGTGATGGATGTGGTTTTGGTTTCTTTTCTTTTCTTTTCTTTTCTTTTCTTTTCTTTTCTTTTCTTTTCTTTTCTTTTCTTTTCTTTTCTTTTCTTTTCTCCTTTTCTTTCTTTTCTTTTCTTTTCTTTTCTTTTCTTTTCTTTTCTTTTCTTTTCTTTTCTTTTCTTTTCTTTTGTTTCCTTTTCTGTTTTCTCTTCTCTTCTCTTCTCTTCTCTTCTCTTCTCTTCTCTTCTCTTCTCTTCTTTCTCTTCTCTTCTTCTCTTCTCTTCTTTTCTTTTTTGTTTTCTTTTCTTATCTCAAATGATTCTAAATATGCACCTAGAATTTAACAACCATGAGTAAGCCAGCTGTTCAAGGATGTTTTTCTACATTGGTTTTGTGCTAGGCCTTGCAATGATGATTTAGGAATTTGTAAAATATGCTCCCTGCCCTTTTCAGGGACTCACCATTTAGTAAATGTATATGTGTACAGCGTGTACACAGGATACAAGGGGCGGAGGGTGGTAGAGGGAGGGAAGAAAGGCCCTGTAACCAAACTGAAAAGCTAGTGTCTGGATTCACTAACAAAACCCTCTTGATTGTCAATTTAAAGTCCTTTTCATTGATATTAATGTTATTTTCTTTTTTTAAAAAATCCTCACCTGAGGATATGTTTTTTATTGATTTTAGAGAGAGGAAGAGAGAGAGAGAAATATTGATGCATGTGAGAAACATCGATCAGTTGCCTCTTGTATGTGCCCCTACCAGGAATCAAACCCTCAACCTAGCTAGGTGCCCTGACCTGGAATTGAACCAACAACTTTTTTGGTGTATGGGTCGATGGATGTTCCAACCAACTGAGCCACCCAGCCAGGTCAATGTTATATTGCTTTTTACTGAGAAAACTATACCTCCAACAATTTGCTCTTTTTCTTCTGAATAGCACTTTACAATATATAAAGCACTTTAATATTATTATCTTTTTTTATTGCCATAAAAACTTGGAGGAGGAGTTGAGGAGGACAGAGTTTTTATCTTAATTTTGAGGGAGTGGAAGTACCTCAGGCACCTGATAGGGCCATGGACGCTGCTCAAGATCTTGTCACTTATCCCTTGTCAGCTGATGCTAAAACCCAGGCAACACTGTACCTCTTCTTTCACGTTTACCCCATCTCTCCATTTCCATGCCACGTGCTGAGGCGTTTATTTTTTTCTGCATTTCTAGTGCGCGTTGTCTTTACAGACATCTGGAGGTAATCATGTAGCCCTCTCAATTAATTCAGCTCAATTAATAAATTACTGGGTGGATTTGGGATTGGGGCGGGTGAGGGTGCCTTCCGGGCCTCCCCGGGCTGGAGAGCTCTTGCAATTAGGTTTGGAGAGCCTTCCCCTGCAGCAGTCACTGAGCTGAGCTCAGCCCCAGCTTGCAGGCTGCCTGCAGGGGTGATTGGCTCACTCTGACACAAGAGGCATTGTTTTCCTTTCTTCACATTGTGAATTTTAATCTGATTAGAACAGTACCTGGTCTAGGCTGGTCTGTCCCCCTCCTAGTTAAGTTTTTCTTAAAGGTCCAGTGTGGTATCAGTTCAGCATAATTCTTCATGGGGCATTTCTTTGTCATGTGGAGCTGACCAGTGCATTACAGGTATTGAATATTCTGGCCCCTGACCACTAAGTGCTAGTAACTATCCTAGGCATAGTGGCAAATGGTGTTCTCATCCTCCAAGTTCCAAGTGCCCCTTGGTGGGGGGCAGAATTGCACCTGCCAGAGGGACCATTTTAAAGTATCTTGCCAAGTACTTTTTATGCCCTGTTTCAAGAATAAACTTTCGGAGGTTCCTTAGTGCCTCAATAAGTTTAAGCTCCTCAAGCTTGCAGGCAAAGCTGGCTGTGCTCTGGTTCCGTTCCACATTTTAGCTTTTACTAGCTTTTTCTTATTCCTCCTCTACCCACACTAAATGTAAGCCTGTGTACATGTAACTTTGCTAACATTGTTCAGGCCCACCCTCTACTCAGCACTTGGGCTCTGTCTGAAGGTCACTGAGTCAATGAGGCCTTCTGTTGCTAGCAAGGAGTGATCTTATTTTTTTCTGCAGCAACACTTTTTTAATCCTCACTTAGATAACTTATCACCTCATTTAGGTACATATCACCATTTAATTGGTGTGATAATTATTTGAATAGATCATTAATACAAATGAAGCTTTCTTCAACCTTATTGGTATAAGATTCTCTTACCATAGAAACTCCTCCAGGTTAGGGATTATTTCTTATTTATAGCTATTGTCTGAGGAGTGCTGGGCACTAGCATAGGTACCTGTTAGAAGAGAGGTATTTAAGATTAGTTCATCAGAGTGCTCAATTTTTCTTCTCTTCTTCTTCCCCTCTTTCATCTTCTCTCTTCTTTTGTCTTGTCAGAGAGCTTTTTCAAGATTTTATTGAATATAGATTAAAATGAAATAACAATGAATTAAGCTATGTTGCCTCGTTTTCATGCTTCCATAAAAACAACTGCATTTTTTTTTTTAAATTTCAGGTTCCAACAATGTCTCACCCATCTTGGCTGCCACCGAAAAGTACTGGTGAGCCCCTAGGCCATGTGCCTGCAAGGATGGAGACCACACATTCCTTTGGGACCCCCAGCATTTCAGTGTCTACACAACAGCCACCCAAAAAGTTTGCACCAGTAGTTGCTCCAAAGCCCAAGTACAACCCATACAAGCAACCTGGAGGTGAAGGTAAGTGTAGGTATTTCAGAGTTGGGCAGCCAAAGTGGGAGGGAGAGCTCAATATAATAAAAGTGATTGACAGCCCAATGAGTCAGATAAAGGTAGCTCAAAAATTTGTAATGTTTCTTATAGTTGGTTGACATCTAAGAACACCTAGGAACCATCTAAGCCAACTCTTCTTTTAGGGTAAAGAGAGTGAGACCTCTTATATGGCTATGGTTACACAATGAGTAAAGGCTAGAGCCAAAACTAGGACCCTGCTTTCTTCATTTGTAACTCACTGTCCTGTTGCATTATTCTCTACTTCCTCCCATTGTGCTGCAGAAATGTGTCTACCGCCCAGTGGACTCTCCCCCTTGCCATTGGACAAGTGTCTCAAACTGCTGCCATGTACTCTAAAGAGAAACCCACAGGAAGCGAACCTAATAAGACACCTAAAATTGGTTTGACTTCCCTGGCTATTTTTTTTGCTCCTCTAATCTGCTGTAGGATAAAGTTATCTTGAGAGCTCTGTGAGATCTGTATGTGTAGAAACACACTGAGCAATGTGAGTGAAGCCTTGTGTTAGGGGTTTTAATAGCAGTACATTCAGTTAACATCAAGTGGAGTTTGGAGATCTGCATGAGCTTAGCATCCTAGGCATATATATATGTGCACATTCAACCTGCTAAACCCCATAGGAAGCACAAAGAAAGCCATATTGTTTGGATGAAGTGATGCCACATTTAGCTAATCAATGTCAGCAGTTCATCCAAACTCATGAAAGAATGTGTTATAACTAACAAACAGAAGAACATTAGACTTCTGGTTGCTGAGACAGAAGCGGCAGTGAAAGAAGATTCAGCCCCCCTTTCTCTATTTTTTCCTCCCTCCCCTCATCCTGCTTTTTCAAAAAAAAAATAAAATATGGTATTCTCTCCAGGATGTTTTTACTTCCTTCTTGGATGATATTAGTGTTTTTGTTACAGCAATTTTGCGTGAAATCTTTTCACACTCCGTGATAGAGTTCAGCCTCTCTTTTCTCATTCTAGTCCTCTCCCTGCCCCCAGTCAACACTTTACTAGTCTATTAGTATTTTAGGACTGAAATCAGAAGCCTGGCCCAGATGACTAGATGTATAAGGGGGGCTGTGTACTTAGGCAGATGGTGGGGAGGCCAGTCACCCGCATGCACATGTGAGCTGTGGCTATGGGTCTTTCGGCATCTTTTCTCCAGAAAGTGCAATGTCCAGACCATCAGAGAGCTTCTGTGGAAAAACAATAAACAATGCCCTTGGCGCTCTGCTATTCCCCACCAAAGTGCCTGAAGTAACATTGACCTTGCAGGAGGTTGCAGCTTTGCAGTTAATCAGGACTCCCTGGAACTAGTTTTCTTTGCCTCATTGTTCTTCAGTGATTGCAGAACTCAGGAATGGGATCTGGAAGAGAATCCCTCCTCCCAAGAAGAGCCATATGTTGGCTTTCTTCTTCTTCTTATTATTTTTCTCAATGTTTCCCCTGTTCTGCTCACCAGGGGGATTGCTATTTTGTCTCCTAACTTTTGGGGAGAACTAAAATGGACCTCCCTCTAACATGAAAGGAATAAAGACAGGGTCCCTTATCGAGTAGAAGACAAATGTGTGAGGAAGTCTTAGTGGGTATGGGTATGACATTCGATGCACAACCAATATAGGGGGCAGGTCCTATATTAAGTGTCAGCTAATAAATGCCATGCAGGAGAGGGAGGAGAGCTGCATATAATGGTCTCCCTTAGCCTTCTTCACTCTGAATGTTATGAATTGCGGTGAGTTAGCTCTTGGGTGACTCTCCCTGCCTTGAGCTGCTCTACCTTCTTTACTGCACTGTGTGAGGTTCATGTACTATCTCTCTTGTTCTCTAGGGACACTGGTGTAATCTCTGATACTCTGCCTCTCTTAGCTCAGCTCTTTGCTTTTTCGTAACATGCCATTCCACACCTTTTATCACCTATCAAAATCTTACTTGAATCACCTTCTCCAAAGTGTCTAAGCCTGGCCTAGATCAGAAATAATCATCACTTCCTTCCCTGGGTTCCCACATATGTCTTACTCTGACTATCAAATTTCTACTTTGGTTATTTCTCTTGCTCTTACTCTGTCAGACATTGAAAATGTAGTCTGTAGGCACTGTGCTTTTTCATTATCATTCCATTGCCTTCTTTTTAACCCTATGTAGTAAGTATCTTTTTGCATAAAGAAATGTAAGCTTAGAGAGGAGAGACGTCATTCTGTATGGTTTCATGGCTACTAAGTTTTTGAAAGGAGGCCATTGTCCTTACCCAGCATGCTACACTGCTTATCCTATTCATGGCAAATGTGGCACTGGGACCCCATATGACAGAGATTCTTTCCTGTTTCCTTGTGAGAATGCAAGCTTTGTTTCCCCATTTAAGCAACAAGACATAGTTTCTCACTCGTCCTTATGTTCCTCTTGGCTCTTATTATGCTACTGTGTTTTTAGTAGGAACGATTGTGTATGGTCAAATGTATGTCTGCATGTTCTTATGTATGTATATATTTGGATGGGTGGCGGATGGCGGATGGCTGGATGGATGAAGACAGCACTCAGTGATTCTTTCCCTACAATAAACAGTTTGGAATATGAGATCCTCATGCGAAGCAGCTCAGTCTCATTTAATTTCTGAAGGTTTGATTCTTTCTTGCAATTCTGCCAATCTCTCTCTTTTTAATATAACCTTTTTTGAATACGTGAAGGAAAAAAAACGTTTCCCTTGCATACATACATTTTAAAGACAAATACGGGGAAAGGTTTATGGATATTCAGACTTTTTAAAATGCAGTTACATCTCTTCATCTGCTGTATATTATGACATAATATTTGTTAGAAGTACAAGATTTGCTTTACTTTATATTTAATTTAAATGTTAGTGCATTCTTTGTTACTCAAAACATTTTTATAATTCATGTTATTTTTGCTTAAATTTTTATTCGTTTGAAAGTTTATATCCATTTTCTTTTTCATTTCTGCCCATTTAGAATGTTCTGTGCCATTAGTGAAATCCCCAGAGAGTAGGTAACAGTTTTTATTTACAGGGTGAATGGATTGTGCCATGGTCTTGTGCCTCAGCTCTCACCATCTTTTGCTGTTAATTTACATTCTCCTGAATTTCTGTCTCATAAAGTCTTTTTACTTATAGCTTAATGCAGAGATTGACCTCCAAGAACGCAATAGAAAATATAAAAGAATAGGACTAATAGAAGTCACATGGTCCACCTTTTCCTGGTGTAAATGCGAGAGCGGTAGTGCAGAGTATACATGATTTGCTCTGAGATGCACAGCCTGCTCAGGACTGAGTTGGCACTAGACCTCAGGTACTCTCTGAGCCCAGCATTACCCAGGACCTTGTATTATTTTCTAGTGAGGTCTCTTTTCACCATGCCACAACCTCTTTAGGCATCTCCTGCCATTCTTTTCATGTGTCTTCTAATTGACTTACTTGGGTATGAACCTATCTGCTTTAGCAGACTCAGGGCTTACTCCCAACAGCACCAAGCAATGTGCCTGACACATATTAGGTACTCAATTATGTTTGAGATGATAGTTAAGCCACAGAAACATAAAGCTGTTTATCCAGGCACAGGTTCTAGCTTCTCAAATACTTACTAAGCTTTATGGTTCTGCAGCTCAACCTAAGTGTTAGAGTTACTTTTAGCCTCCTTTACTCATTCCTGGAGCTTTTTAGCCCAGGAGTTGCATCACTGCTACCTTGAAGTTACCAATTACATTTCTCACCTTGGTTATTATATCTGTCATCTCTGGAGTTTGCTTTCTCATTTTTTAATTCTGACTGTGAAAGTGGAAAAGTACCCACATTTTTCCACATCAACTTATATTTATATACCATATGTTATAATTTTCTTTTATAAAGTATTCTGCGTATAATCTTTCTCTAAAGGGCTTTGGCACACTTAAGAGTGGGGTGTGATTTTTCTCCCCAGTTAGTAGCTTTTTAGGCCTTAGGGTTCTTTTATTTTATGCATACTTTTCATTGATTTTTTTTTTTTTAAACAATTTGTGTCTCCTTCCCTGTTTGGAATGCCCCTGAATTCCTAAATGCCTTGTTGTGTCCTCTACTATGTGCTTATGAATATATATATATATATATATATATATATATATATATATATATATATATATATAAAATTTTTTCTTCATACAGATTTTTCCATGTTAAGTGTCCTTGTCATTTTTATGGGATGGTTTGGGTATGCATGTATGGTTTTGTTTCATCACCTTCTATTGTAGACTAATGAGGGCAACAGGATGATGTGATTTTTCTTTTGGTCTTTAAGGTACTAGTCAGTAGTGTTCTTTATTCTATAATCTGAATCTCTGCCATCTCTACCTCAAATTTGCAAACAAACAAACTAACAAAATCCCCAAAACAAAGCCTTTGATGGCAAAACAGGGCCTAGATCTTTCTTACCAAACAAAGTGAGATTTCCTACTTTACTTATACATTATTTTCTTGAGGATTTTGAAATTTACCTGTCATTTTTTATCCTTTATTACGATAGATTACCATATGGAAGGATTTGTGAAGTTTGCATGTTTGTAAAGTTGGAGTTGTCTTGTGGCCTGGAGTTGACTTTTTCCAATCTCTAAATTTTTAAAAACATTTTAAATCTAAGATTTTTGAAAAAGTAAATCTGCAGGGTACAGACTCAATTTGACCCTTTCAGCATAATACTTTTATATTTGTACAATTCTTTATAGTTCATACCGTGCTTACATAGTGATATCGTTCAATTCTCAAAAGAAAATTCTTACTTCAGTTCTCTGAATTAGGTGGAATAGATGTTACTGCCATATTACTGAGCGGTAACCTACCGGGAGTGAAATAACTTATTCAGTAATCACATAGCTGGTAAAATAGTAGAGCTAAGCTCTGCTCTTCATATCTAGGACTCTTGATGATTTTAAAGGGTTCCATTTATTGGAGATTAGGCTAGATTGCCTTGTTCATTTTCA